TTCAGCGCTCTCTGCTCTGCCCAGAGTGGAGGCCGTAGCTCCACTGTTGCTTCTAGATCTGGGGTGTGTTTAAGGGTGGGCCGACCGGGTTGTAGTTCAGCATTAGCTAAGTCTCTGGCAGCCGCTCCCATCTCCTGGTGTGAGAACCATCAGAGAGGTGGGTAGGAAGCTTGGGGGAACCAGAGGTTTTACTTTCCTGTAGCTGATCTTGCAGCTACTGTAAGCATCTGTTACCCCACAGCTTGATTCTCTGATAACAGTGCTGAAGTGCTCTTCTCAGCTGAGGGCTGTCACAGGACAAAGGGCATTGTGTGCTTTCCTGACCTTGGTCCCTGGAGGCCCTTCTTTGGAGAGCTGCCTGCATGGGAAGGAAGGAGGCAGCCTCTACCAGGTCCTGGTCAGGGGTGTCAGGAACCCTGGGTGGCTCTGGGTTCATGAGACAGCAGGTGGCGGAGAGGATGGAGGGCTCTGCCTTGTATTTTCTGACCAGATGAGGTGTTGTTTTATGCTTTGGAAGCAGCTTGCTACTAGGGGAAAGATGACTGCATGGGAAGATGGAAGTTTGGAGACCTGAGCTCTAGTCCATTCTGTGGCAGTGACCTGTTATTTGGTCTTGGGCTCTGGTTTCTGTGTATCTAAGTGAAGGACTCAATAGTAAAATCCTTAAGGTTGCATTTAGCTCTACAGGTCCTGTGTCCCCTCCCTACACTCCCTGCTGCTTTTTCTTAAAGAGAACTCAGATCTGCGATAAAGGAATGAGGAATTGACTTAACTAGCTAGATCTTCTGTATGGTTACTTTGTTGGGTTCTCTCTATGTGTTATACACTATATAAGGAAGTTTAAAATTTTATTTTATTTAGCCTTCACATCAGTCCTGGCTGTTTGTTTTTCTTTGATATATGTCTATATTTATACACCTGCATCTATATCTGTATGAAATATACATATACAACTTTTTTTTTTTTTTTAGTACCAGGGATCGAACTCCAGTGCTTGTGTTTGCGAGGCAGGCAGCAGAACCACTGAGCTAAATCCCTGGCCCATGAAATATACATATACAGACAGAATGAGAGACACTTTCATACACACACACACACACACACACACACACACACACACAGTTGGGCATGGTGGTGTATGCTGATAATCCCAGCACTCTGGGAAACTGAGGTGGGCAGATTGCAAGTTTGAGCCTGATCTAGGAATCTTAGCAACTTGGATCCTGTCTCAAAAACAACAACAATAACAACAACAAAAATCTGGGAGAAGGCCCTGGGTTTAATCCCTAGCACAGCACCAAAGATATCTATACATACAGTGCCATTTCTGTGTATATGGTGGAAATGTTACTCGTCTGTCAAACTTGAATAGAGGAAGGTGGCAGAGAGAGAAGGGTTCACTCTCAGGATTTTCCGGTTGTGAAACTCGGGGTGAAGTCTGGCAGTGGTGTTCAGCCTGCTGTGTGCTGAGTGTGACAGGCAGAGTCGTCATCGGATACCTACGTCCTTTCGATGTGCCCAGCCCTGTGCCAGGTGCCCTGTGAGTGCTGCGACTTGTGAGCTCTTATTTATTTCTGGCCACAACTTGCTTGAAATGGAGCTGGGGAGCTGACATCTAACTCCTAAGACTGTGAGACAAGCGTGAACTGGAGAGGGGCCAGAGGGAGGTTTGAGCGATGAGTCTGGAGGACAGCAGGGCAAGGAGCGGGGGAGGAGACAGGGTGCCTGGTGCTGCCGAAGCCCAGAGCAGGAATAAACGTGCTGGGTGCGGAAGGCTGAGCAGCCCAGGTCGAAGGGAGCAGACCGCACTTGGCGGAGGCAAAGCAGGGCTGCACAGCTGGCTACAGAGGGTCTTGCCAGGCAGGTGGAGGCTCTGCATTGACGCAGCAGGTGACGGAAAACCACGATACTGGGAAATGGGGATGGCGTGGAGTTGGAGCAGGCAGTGGTGCATGGCCAGGCACACTCACTCCTCTTCTGCAGAGGAGGAAACCGGCCCCATGATGAGCATGTGATGAGGCCAGATGTCCTCAGGGTGGGGAACTGACCTGCTGGCAGCCTATAGGGAGGAGGAAGGAGGAGGAGAAGGGGAGAAGGTTCTGTTTCTTTACACCCACATCTTTGTAGCCTAATCTGAAAGGTTAAGTAATGCCAGGCATGGTTGCGCATGTCTGTAATCCCAGCTGATGGGAAATTGACCTTTTTTAGGTACTGGTGTGGGAGCCCCGTGTGTCTCCCCTGCCTCATAGAAGTCATGAGGTAGGTAGTGTCATTGTCATTCACAGGCAATTCATAGGCAAATTCACCTCCCTGGAGGTCTTGCAGGTAGTAGTTGCTGACGGCAGGCTTTGGACCCAGGCTTCTCCTTCCCTGGTCATCTTCTCGCTGAAGGTGGACCAGTTGCCTGGCTAGAACCTGGGCATGGGGATCCCCGTACAAATTGCAGAGGTCTAAAACCTCCTATTGTGACGAAGAGCCAGGTGCCGCCTGCCTTCCCTGCTCAGGCACTGTTACTCCCCGCCCCTGGAGACTTCGCTTACTGCATGCACGATGACAGCCTCCTCCCACGTCTGAAGGCGCACCGCGGGCACACATGTGTGTGTGTCCATCCTCTTGAGGTGCCTTCCTCAGTGTGGGTCCCCAGACTACCCAAGGAAGGACACCCGCTACAGAAGCTGGTTAACCTGCCTCTAGAGGAAGCCTGGGCTCCTGCTTCCTGCTGAGGATGACGCAGATCTCCCACGGAGGCTGCTGGGAGTCCTGCGTGTTGGTGATGCTTGACATAGGGTCACTGTGTTTCATGCTTTAGAAACTGCTGGCTGGATCCGGGCCACTGGTCTCTGTGAAAGCAGGTTATTTATTTAGCTAAAATGGATTCAGTTTCTGTTATATGCCTAGTTCATCATAAGCACTCAGGAAACAGGTAGAATACATTCATGACACAGAGTGCCAAATTTTATTGCACGTGAATAAAGCTGATTCTGGCTAAATGAGGGACACTGTTGGACTCATGGAAAGACCACTGGAAGGAGCCCCAGGACCTGCCCAAAGCCAAGGAGGGCTCCGAGAGGCAGGCATGCAGGCGCTGTGACAGTGGCCTGCCTTTGGGTGACTTCAGACACCTCTCGTAGTTCCCAGTCCTCCTGGGGCTTGGGTTGTGACTGGTGGTATCCCCAAAACCATGTGGGGAACGAGTCCTGGCAGACAGATGGACAGACATACTCAAGTAAAGAATCCACACTGTCAGTTTGTAATCCTGGCATTCTGGGAGGCTGAGGGAGGAGGACCACAAGTTTGAGCCTAGTCTGGGTAATTTAGTGACCTAATGAGACCCTGTCTCAGAGAACTGAAAAGAAACTTAAAATAGCCAGAAATGTAGCTCCGTGTGAAGGCCCGAATTTAAGCCACATGCCACCTGCCCTCCAGTCTTGTCTCGTAGATACACAGGCATCCAGAGCCTCCTAGAGGTTGTAGTCAGTGGAGGAAATTGATAAATATGGGACTAACGCAGAGTAATGAATGGGCTGTGAGGTGGCTGCGGAAGGTCATATGGGGCAGCGGGAGCTGAGGGAGGTTTTCAGTTTTGCTCGGAGCAAGTGTGAGTTAGGTGAGGTATTCAAAGGCTTCCTGAGCTTAATTTTAAAGACTAAGTCATGCCAGGCGTGGTGCATGTCTATAATCCCAGCACTTGGGAGGTTCAGGCAAGATGGCCACTGTGAGTTTGAGGCCAGCCTGTGCTACACGGTGAGATTCTGTCTCCAAACCAAACCAAAGCCTAAGTAAACTTTAGCTGGTTGGAGAGAAGCTCTTCAGGAAGTGGCCTGGTGCAGGGATAATGGTGACAGAATGGTGTGACCAGGACGTGCAGGGAGCCGAGGCTTTGTCTGGGGAGAGCCCCGAGGGAGGAGTGAGCAGGGCTGGGTCTGAGGAGCTCAGGTACTCGTTAGCCCTAGGAGGGCAGCCATTGACCCATGGCCCTGAGTGACAAAGGGTTAGTGTGCTGCTGGAGGCCACAGTGCCGGCAGATCCCACCATTCTGCACACAGCTGCCCAGGGCAGGGTATTGACTGTTGTGGACCAGACAGTGAGAGGCTGGGGAAGCCAGACAAGAGACTCCCTAGTTGTCCAGAGAACCTCAGATGTCCACGGGACTCCAGCACCTGCTCCCATGAATGGAGGGAGATGCCAGCAGGTGAAGAAGGAGCCATTGCCAGTGTCCCCAGCTGTGCAGTTCTGAGTGTTTGGGAGTGACATGTTGTGGGCACAGAAGGCCACAGGCCACTCAGGGCATGAAGAGGCAAGGGTAGAGGCTTCCTGTGCCCCACTACCCCTCTGCAGCTGGTTCCTTTTGTGCAGAGCAGCCTCCACCCAGGGAGTCTTGTTGCTGCTGGAACACCAGTGTGTGGCTTTGCACAGGAGGGTGACTGAGATCGAGGATGCTGGGCCCGGGCGGGGAGACTTCCTTTTCCTTCTGAACAGGAGCAGCACAGAGCATTTCCTCTCCAATAGGTGGTTTCTAAAAACAGGAAGACCTTCACTCCCACTATGAGCCCTAGAGGGGCTGTATCTAGAACTCATGTGAATGGTGTGGAGAGGGGGCCAGCATCCAACAGATGGCCTGGGCCAGTCCCCACATTTAGCTGTGTTACTGGCTGAGTTTCTACACTTCCCCAAGTTTTATGTTCCTCAATATGACCACCAGCAGCAACAAAACTTACCTTGGTCTGGGGGTAGAGCTCAGGAGTAGCTGCTTGCCTAGCCTGTGAGACCTTGGGGTTCACTCCCAGCACCGAAACACCCACCCCACCCCACCCCAACCCTGGCTTTTATTGAATACTATGGTGGTCCAGGCCCTGTGCAAAAATCTTTTACATTCATTCTTTCACTTCTTCCTTAAATAGCTCTATGTAGTAGGTAGTTATTGTCAGCATTTAATGGACACAAAAATTTAGGGTCGAACAAGACTAGTAACTTGCTCACCCCTTACTTCCTCTCCTGTCTCCCTCTGTAAAAAGTCAGTAGGTGGTAGAGCTTGGATTTGATTTGACAATACAACAGCAGAATCGGATACATCATCGAGCTGTTATGAGTTTAAAAGGAAATCATGTGTAAAAAACTGAGTTCCCCGAGCGGTGAGCATTCAGTAACGTCAGTGTTTATTCCCTGCTCCCTTGTGTCTCTTACAGAACCACCTGACACAGGATGATGATACTGATGAGGTTGAGATCGCGATCAACAACATGGCTTTCATGGATGAGTTCTTCTCTGAGGTGGGCAGCCTTCCTGTGTTTTGTTCTGAATGTACATGAGGAAACGTAGCTTCCTTTGTAAGACCACAAAAACCGCACACCTGTTCAGAGTGGCAGAGGAAGGTCACAGCCTTCAGGTGGGCTGGCTGATTGAAGTCGTTACTGGGAGATCTTTTCAGTTCTCCATAATCTTATTAAGGAAGTCAGCAGAGGGGAAATTATATGTCATTGACGATGTGCCCTTAAAGTCTTATTGCTACTTGGCAGCATTTTAATGATATTCCTTCTTGCCTAAAGAATATAATTTAAATACAGAATTAACCACAGGTACATAGCCAGGAGTGTAAAACATTGTTGCATCTTTAGGCTTGTGATTGAGAAAGGTCAAATTTGTTGTTTCCAAACATTTTTATAGTCCCTTTGGCTTAATACTAGCGGTAACAGAGAAACCAAGAAACCAACAGTTTAGTTCTGTAAAGTCTAACAAGACAAGCTGTCCATGTCTTCAGATTCATCCACTCTGATCTTCAGGGCGCTCGTAGGGAAGGTGGTAATAGCTTGCTGGAGAGCTGTGGAGGCAGGAGTGTATCGGGGACAGAAATGCTGCTTTGGTCTTGAATCTTAGCCTGCTTCTGACTAGCTAATGGCTTTAGTTAATGTTCCTTCACCTGCTGAGCACTGGTTTCCTCATCTGTAAACTGGGATTGATAATATAATCATTTCCCCATAGACTTATTGTAAGAATTGAGACAATGCTCATCAAGCAGCAAACAAAACAAAACAAAAAAACCAAAAAAACCTGAAAGCTTACTGTTGCTGAAGTTTCTGTCACTGTAGTATGGTTTCTTTATTTAGTTTTTATTTCCCTGGGGGGAGGTATTTAAAAACCAAGAGGCATTGTATTGTTTCTGCAGAGAGAGTTTGGGCACTTGCAGTCCTCTGAGCTGCAGATGTGGAAGAGTAGCCCCCGCAGTGGAGTGGACTAGGGCCTGACCATGCATACCCCATTATCTGTGAGAGTTGTAACCGGAGTGTGTGCTGCTGACCAGGAGCCGGGCACTACCCCCTCAGCTCCTCACCCGGGTGTAGATGGGTCCTCCTTTTGGTCCACGTATCATCGTAGGATCAGGCAGTGCTTGGCTTTGTGAGCCCAGGGTTAGTCCACTGTGGGCTGCGGAAGGCAAGTGTCCTCTGCTCAATGGTTAGAGTGCTTGTGATATTTGAAGACATTGTATCTCTTGTCCCTGTAGTCTTATCCTGGAGAACCATATGCATTAGCGGACATTTGCCCTAGGATAAAAAGTGAATCTTCTCCAATAACTGACTTCTCCTTCTCCTCGTCCAGTGGGAGGGTCCCTGAGAAGCAGATTCCTTGTGAAGTGGGAAGATGGTGGGCTTCATGGCTTGATTCCTTCCTCTAGAATTTCAGGGCAGTGTAACTTTGGCCAACTTACTTATGCTATCTGAGCTTTGATTTCCTGCTCTGGAAATTGGGAATGTTAGTTCTCACTTTTCAAGGCTTGTAAGAATCACAAGAGCTCACATATGTGGCAAGAATGATCTGCAAAGAAAAGGATTTGGTGGACAAAAGATACTCTCAGAGATTTAGTAAATCTCCTGACTGCCTTATTGTCTTACTGCTTTCTCTTTGTTAAATGTTGTTCTACCATTTAGAAAGGCACCTTGTAAACCCTCTCCTATTAAGGGTGGAGAAGGGGACAGCACAGTGAGGTGGAAGAAGCTTGAAGTTAAATTCTGTATGTGCCATTGACTGTGTGATCGTGGCCATATCTCTTTAGCTGTTGAGTGTGTTCACCTGTGAAACAGAGAAAAATGTCCACTCAAAGATTAGTGAAAGGAGCTAACACTCAGAAAGAGCTTAGTGTGGGGTGAGGCAATGTGACCTTCCTCCTTTCTCATCCGAGAGGACCCAGAGAGGAGAGAATTTGAGAGGGGCGCAGAGGGTGAGCAAACACTCATTAGAAGAGATCTTGCAGGCTTTGGCTGTGGATCTCGGTTCAAATCTTAGCTTTGCCCACTGCCAATGCTTTAAGTTTGGAAGACTTGTGTAACTACTCTAAACCCTAGTTTTTTCAAACAGGAATAGTGCTGGGACTTGCTGGTTACTATGATAAAGTATATGGATACATCTCGCACAGTGCTGATGCATTGTAACTATGTTTTCAGTGAGTTTTAGTTCTCATTGCCATTGTCCCCAGGTGTATTTACACATAAGTAGATTGCAAAGTTTGTTTTACGGAATGTGGCCTGGAAAGGCTTTTGAAATTGGGATTTGGGAAGATGAAGATATTTTCTCTCTGTGTGACCAGGGAACGTGCATCCCCTGTAGGATATTGCTAAATGATTTTTTGGGATGGCAGTCCTAGGATACAGCTTGCCTTTGGGACTGTTTCCAGTGGTCTCCTTGATCATCTGCTGAGAACTGATAGTGTGAATCAGGCTGGTCCTGGAGGTAGTTTCAAGATGCAGGCAAAGTCACAGGACCAGTGTCTTTCCAGAGCTGATTTGCACTATGAAGTTTGGTTGGTTGCTCCATCTTCTCATTGTTAGAGAACGAAATTGGCTTTTGTGTTTTGAGGCCACCTTCGCCTGGTGATGAACCCTGGATTTTTTGTCTAATTTACAATTGTTTATTATATTTTTTGATCATTTCCTTAGCTGACAGAGAGGAAATTTTTTGAGGAAACAGACCTGCCTTTGGAGGCAGAAACATTAGGGGTGTGTTATTCTGTGTTCATTCATTCATCTGTCAAAAAAGGTCTAAGCGCTTACTGTCTTCCAGACCGCATGTGAGGTGTCGGGGACACAGCACTGTGTGTGACAGGGTCCTTGCCCTGTGTCTCCCTGGTAAGAGTGATGGAGCTTTTTAAGAGTTACCCTACGAGGACAGAAACATGGAGAAGGGACTGTGGGAGCACTAAGTCCCACCTGGAGGAAGGGGGCTTCCTTGGTCTCAGCAGGACTTGTGCGTATCAATCAGGTACCCTAGAGCTTGTCCATGTGCAGACCTGTATGGTCAGACACCAGAGCAGCTCAGACTTGGGGTTTCCAGAAGTTTTTCCAGATGATTTTATGACCTGTGGCAGTGATGAGTCACTGAAGAATGACGGGAGTCTGAGGTTTTTCAGGAAGTGCTAGTCAGAGTGTGTTTTAGAAAAATCAGTCTGCGGAAGTTTGTAGAGGGGAGGAGACCACAAAGGAGAGGCCAGCAAGTTGGCTGCAGCAGCGGCCCCTGCGAAGGAAGGTGAGAGTTCCGATGGGGTCTTTGGGCCTGGGGCAGGAGGGTGTGTGCTTCAGGGAGGCTGGGGACTGACTGGGTGGGGGGTTAGGAGTGGTGGCAGGTGTTAGGGGTTGGGCCAACATCTCTAAGACCCTCTGGGCTTCCCCAAAAGGACTGAGTGTTCTTGTTGTCTGTTGTGTAATGAGCCACTTAATGAAGTGCACCAACCCTTTTATTATGCGGATAGGTCCTTTAGATTAGGAATTGGACTCCCACGAACAATGGAGAAAGGTTCCTTTCTCCCACACACATTCCTAACACTGACTGACTCTAATCATTGTTTCTCTTCTCACACCATTACCTCCTCTTGTTTTCCAAACATAAGTATAACCTGGGTTTATAGCCATTTGTTCTTTTTTTTTTTAATTTTAAAATATAACTTCCTATTTCATATATATATTTATTATATTGATTGTTTTTATATTAACCAATGACGTGACTATTGTATAACTTCCTTGTTATCACTCTACAGTTTGAGAACCATTTAATATAATATAGAAACAATTTTATAGTAATAGATGCAGCAATGTGTGCTATTATCAGCAATCTTCAGCAAAGGTACTTGTTCATGTTCCTCATGCTTATGTGCCAGAATGCTTCACAGTGTATGCTGCAAATCAATATGGAGATACCGCAAAGAACTGGGACTACAGGTTCCATTTGACCCAGCCATCCCTCTGCTGGGTATCTTTCCAAAAGAATTAAAAGAATCATATCACAGTGATATATGCGCACCTATGTTTATAGTGGCACAGTTTGTAATAGCTAAAATGTGGAAACAGCCCAGTTGCCCATCAGTTGGAGACTGGATAAAGAACATATGGTTTTTCTATAAAATGGAATACTACTCAGCTATAAAGAATGAGAAATTAGAGTCATTCATAGGAAAATGGATACATATTGAGGATATACTCCTAAGTGAAATAAGTAAGTCACACATGTATAAGTACCAAATAGTTTCTCTGGTGTGCAAAACTATAATGATACATAAGATCCTAATGATATAATTGACACTGTGAAACACGAAGGAAAGGGCTGAAGGTATAGGGGAAATGGGAAGGGCATGGGAAAGGAAATAAGGGAAAAGAAAAAAAAACATGAGAAAATGAAAAAATGGAAATAAAGTATTTGTAAATAGGGAAGGGAGGAGAGGGTGAAGGGAAGGCAGGGATAAGGGGAAAAATGAGAACCAAGACCTGTCATGTAAAGGTGCAAGATCCCAATGATGAATGTAACTGTACTGTATACCTAAAATGTACCAATAAACTCAAGAAGGAAAAAAAAAAGGAATTGGAGTGTGGCTTATCTATCTCACCTCCACCATCTGCGACCTTGGTTGGGAAGACTCCAGTAGCCAGAGGTTAGAATCGCTATTATAGGGACTTCTGAATTCCAACTTGTGACCCAGGGACTGGGGTGACACAAAGGGAAACCCGGGGAGAGAACATCAGTCAGAGTAGCCACATTTGGCCTCTGTCTGTGCTTGGACTTCTCACAGCATGGCTTCACCCAGCGTCTTTGGATTTTTTTTTCCTTTGGCGGGATCCCTGCTACTGTGTTTTATATTCATTTCATTACTGTAATATACGTTTGAGATATATAATAATTATATTTAGGGTTGCCTGGGGGAATTGATACACATATATCTTATCTTAATCACTGTGATCCCCTTTTCCTCTCCACCTTCATGCTTCTATTCCCAAAAGTCAGCCTGCGTTTC